TCGTAGAGCAGGGAATATCAGCAGCAATATCTGCTATTGATCTCCCAGACTGCCACTGTCCAACTATGCGACCTCTCACTTCGGGACACAAATTTCTATACATGACTTTATGCGCACCTACAGAAAGTCAGGAAAGAGAACGGATCGCCTTTCGCGAGTTGTATTTATATGATTCAGAGAAAAGCGTCTGCTCAGTTTCCACAAATGAGCGTTCGTTTATGTTTATGTATTGCATCGCATTGGTTGCACGTTATGTTGAATATATATATCGACGCGCGAGTTCGCTTAGGCGTGCGCACGTTTTTTAGAACATGAGAAAACGGACGATTCTTTCGTTCGTTTTTTTTCACGTGCGTCGATATATATATTCAACGTAGTATGCGACCAATACAATATAATACATAAACATGCTTTCCGTCCGAACGAAAAAAAGCGGACGATGATAATAGAAACGGGTCGCATTTTTGTATCCATAGTAATAAGGAACAATAATTATTTGAAACAGGCGCAAAAATCGGCCCTTTTTAGAGTCACCAAATTTTATAACGATGGAACGATACTCGAACGCATAAAATATGAAATAATTATATCTCGCGTGTTTATGCAACAATAAAATTAAAAATACTCTTCTTCGATCGACAACCTACACAAACGTTATATTGTTGCAACATATTCTATGTTGGTTCAGAATTCTATATTAAAATAAATCTAATATTTATTTTTTTTTCAAGAGTAGCTATTAAGAAGCATTTGTCAAAGCCTCCTAAAAACCTTTCCCCAAGATTTTTACATTACAGTAATTTCCTTGCTAACAATGAAAAATGCATGAACGTTCGAGCGAGCGAAACAGTCGTCGGGACACCGCGTATTGCTCACGTATAGACGAGACAGTGTGAGTCAAGCGTTTTCTTAGTGTGTGTCACACGTATTTTAGGACGGCATTTCTGTCCAGACGTCTTATAATGCTATTTCTCTCGTTCTTACGTTTGCGATAGAGGATGGAAGATCGCCGCGACTCCCACCACTATTCCCTCTCCAAGCGTCCGACGATCGTATACCGCTAGCTCCCTCCGCCACTCCGTGCTGCTCTTAGCTCACCTACACGTAGCAGTGTATGAGTGACGCGTTATTGTGTGCGAGTCACACGGATATTCGGACGGCATTAACGCCGGTGCGTGTACAACATAGAGGAAAAGGTGACGCCGAGCCGGAGCCGCGGACGAGAATTGTGTCAGTGCGCATGATCCGAGCAAAGGCGCAAACCGTCATTAGGGCGGCGGTCGGAGACGCGGGGGTCGCGTCAGAGGTCGAGGGGTCGCAACTAAACATAACCCGACCTTAGTCGACTCGGAGCTCGTCCGAACCAGCGACCAGAGAGACGCAGCCGTCTGAACCGGCGACAGGGGAGACGCAGCCTTCCGAACCGGCGACGGGGGCGACGGAGTCGTCCGAACCGACGACAGGAGCGGCAGAGCCGTCGGAACCAGTCGGAACAGCGGAAGGGCGATCCCGACGATCAGCGACACTAGAAGAAGTTGCCGAGCATGCGGACGACGAGACACCTGATGACCTCGATGTGGAGGAGGAGTACCTAGTATAATCCTGGGAATAGACACAGATTGAGGTAATGTGCCAGGCCGCATGACTGAAAGAAGCGTTTTTAGTAAGTTAAGAGTAGAATAAGTTAGTAATATGAAGTAGGTTAAGCGTAGATTTAAGGGATCTATCGGACACGGTACACGTTCGGGTCGAAAGACGCGGAACACCCGAGTAGAAAATAGCTCGTCGAGCTAAGGGACAAAGACACCGGCGCGAGCGAGCGTTCGGGAGGTGTACGTGAGAGTCCGGGGGATGAACGCGTTGCGAAAACGTGACAATCGGGCGATTCTGAAAAACGACACGTGCCGAGATAGGGAACCGGTAGAAGACGGGGAGGACCGTCGAGTTAAACAAGCCTTATGAGTAGGAAACGCGAGACAGTCCGAACAACCGAGCAATGAGTCGGAAACGGCCGGGGACTGAAAATAAGTAGTAGACTTTGTGGGTGCTTTCCAATTGTTTAACACATCATGACACATACGTACACAGAAATGTACAAAGTGTAACGTTGTGCACGACTCGATTGGTACACAAAGTTTGTACTAATGTGTACGTATGTCGAATAGGATTAGAATTATTTTTCAACACTATACCCATGCTTGGTATTTTGTTGTCAATACTTTTTCTATCTTCAATAAAAAAAATATTATACACTTCACGTTGCAAATGCCAACTTCTTCTCATGCCGTCATGCTTATTCACTTCAATTGTCACTAGAACACACTAGTTTACACAACCGACTAGTAGCCTTCGAACTGAGTACGGATGTAGTGTTGTGTAGTGTTGTGTCGACGATTACAACAACTGGAATGCAAATTGATAGCGCTATCAATTTGAATCGTTTTCTTTAAGCTGTATCGTTACTCGCAAGTTCAGATATAAAGCCTATCGTATTTTATTTGGTTATACCTGATTTTGTATTCTATAGGAAACTAACGATAAAAACTTTATCACTATCTATTGTATTCTATTGTATACGATATCTATTATATACGATAGAACACTATTCACATTTTGTAAATTCACGAACCAAAATCCATATTCAAAGCGATATAAAATGGTTATTTTTATTCTATCGTTCTCTACAAATTTTTTTACCAAGGATGTCATCAATTCTGAGTTAATTTTTAAATGCAAAAAGAATTCTTTTCACTGAACTGAACTCTGAAGAATTCTTTTTGCATTTGAAAATGTACTCAGAATTGGTGACATACGACTGAATTCTTTTTAATTTTTTTTTAAGTTGTCTGTGCTATCTGGGAAATGTATCTGATATTGAGGAAACAGTAGAGTCTTTTAACACACTTCTCAATATCCAATCCTCGACTAAAGTTTATAAAAAAAATCCTGCAGATTTATTAGATTTAATATATGATCGTGCACAAGCAGAGTTTTTCAATAATAGCGGTTCTAGTGAAGATAGTGACAAAGAATAAAATTTTCTCATTCTATCGTTTTCTAT